GTTAAATCTGAGTTATATATATATATATATATATATATATATATATATATATATATATATATATATACAATATTCTATAAATTCTACCGAATGTTTGGCGTTAATATGTATATGTGTATGTATATATATATATATATATATATATATATATACACAATATTCTATAAATTCTACCGAATGTTTGGCGTTAATATGTATATGTGTATGTATATATATAGACTTGAAATGATGATGACAATAATGATGTTATAATGGTGATAATGATGATGATGAGAACTAGTGGACGAGCTTATATCATAAAAAGGTACTTGCATACATTTAACAACTTCGCACATATACAAGCAATTTTTATTCATTCTTATTTCTTTTTTCTTTCTTCTTTTTCTTGTTGGTTAATTTGTTTGTATCATTGAACTTTTACATGATTATTTTTATTAATTTTCATATTTTCGAGTTTTAATTCTTAGAAAAGATATTTTTTATATTTTAATATTCGTTACAAACGCTATGAATACTAACAGTTGAATATTTTTACTTTGTATCACTTTCTTCATAGGCGCGAAGTTATTCTAAGCAATCCTTATGACACACACACACACACACACAGTTGTACGCGTTTGGAGTGTGAGTTTATAATTGTATGCATTTATAAATGTGTAAATATATGTGTTATGTAAATGTGCATGTGTTTATTTGTATATATGCAGGTTTTTGTTTGTTTGTATGCATGCAAGCATGTAGGTATGTATGTATGTATGTATGTATGATGTAGGTATGCATGTTAAGGCATATATGTATGTATGTTTAAGTTTGTGATGTATGTATCTATGTGTACATATATACATACATGTATGTTTGTTTGTGATGTACATAGGATGTATAGTATGTCTGTGATGTACAAACGTGTGTATGCACACATTTTTGCCTGTGTATGTGCGTTCGTGTGTGTGTGTGTGTTTCCATAGAATAAATCGTATCCTATCCGTATTGTAAGACTCATAACTTTTTAAATAGTGCAACAACAACAACAACAACACACGTTTAGACGACATTTTCCCCTAGATCGGGGGTTGCCGTTTGGCTACCTATGATGAAACCGAAATACCCCTCGACGCCATCCACATCTGTCACTCGCCTCAGTATCACGCAACCACGCTTTCACCCTGTCCTTCTCCACCTGCTCTCTCCATCCCAATCGCGGACGACCCCTTCCTACCACTCCTTCAACCTCTAACTCCAACGCTCGCTTAATCCCGACCCTTTCATCCCTTTTCGACACTTTTTAAATAGTACGTTTTCTTAATTTTTAAAGGTTTTTTTTAAATGTTTAATAGATTTTTGAATATTTTTTTAAAGAATGTTTTTCAAAACAATATTAATCCTTCATTTTATTTCTTCTGCCCTATATTCAGTTCATTATCAATCTTATTCACCTCTTAAAAAGCTATTTATCTGCGTTGGTTCTCTATGGCATGCTTCTTCTTGCTACTCGTTGCTTCGTCCCGTTTTGATGTTTTCTATTTTGAGTCTAGATGAAAAATAACGCGAACAATATCAATAATAATCGTATTAGCGACGATGTTATTAAATCATTACAGTAGTAATAATAGTAATAATCATCACAATAATAATAAATTGCTAGTGACGTTAATAATACAATGGCTTGACTTGATTGCATTGCTTCTATTGTCGTTGTTTTAGTTTTTGTTGTCGTTGGTGTCGTTGTTTTAGTTGTTTTGGTCGTTTTTATGTTTGTTACTGTTGTTGTAGTTTGCGCAAAAATGTATTTATAAAAATATTTTTTACTTGCAAATCTAATTTATCGATCAAATAATCAATTAATTAATTAATTATATATATATTGTAGTTCTGTCTTAAT